CATTCTTGTTGTCCTCCTTCAGAGTCTGCACTGTTTTAGATTGCTGATGGTAAGCCTATTCTGTAAAGTTTGTGAATATGACGCATTCAGAAACCGTTTAGCAGGAAAATTTTGAACTCGGCGTGAAACAATTATGCGAATCAAACTCTTCTGGGTCACCAATTCGTCCTTCTACTCTGATTGTGCAATTCCGATAGATGCAGGACAGAACGGTCAAGTTATTCTCTTTCATGACATAATGAAGTCGGACATTTCAACTGAACTCGTACGGGAACACTTATACAAGACTTTAGGTGAACAGATGCTCTTGAGTAACTGAATAGGTTCTGCCCAGGAGATCGAGCTCACTTATACAAACCTTTTCGAAGACTTCAAGCAAATATCAAGACTGATCTCATTGATCCTGACTTAATATTTGTCTCCTAGGGAAGTGCCGAGTAGTTTTGGCATTAACGAACTTGATCTTTGATGCATCGAACAATAACAAGGTTGCACTTTACCAATTTATGGCACAAATGGTAGAAGGATAAAGCGTCTGGCGATCATCAATGCTTTGATGAAGTGGCTTGTTCAACTTTTTTTACTGCAGAGGTGACTGCAAAATATCTGGAACATGTAATGGCTTGCTGGGACATACCAATGTTCCAAGGTGCTAAAGTTATCCTCTTATATAGGTTTGGCACGATTTTATCGACCCTAGAGAGACTGTGATTATGCTGAGCTCGCGTGGCTAAATCGAACTAAAGCTCAGTAGTGTGTAATGTAGTACACTGCTTATCTTTGTACTATATGTTTCTTCACGATTTAGTAATATGTCGTCGAAGAAGATGAATAAGAACAAATTGAAAAACATGAAATTAAGTTTATTTACATGTGGGTGCTTTAGAGAGTGTCTTGATATCCTCTATAGAAAGACCACAAAGGCAGATTGCAGACGGGATTATAACGGATTGCATGAAAAGAACGTCGGCCTTTTGTTTGACAACGATAAAAACCGCTGCATGCCCTAGGCGGGACCAGTAAAAGATGAATTGGCATTATTCGCGACAAATTAGTTTAAAATTCTGACAAAGACACGATCGTCCTTTTATCTGTTACAAAAAAGAGTGATGCAGGGAATCAGGAACGACGCTAAGGGGACAAGTGAAAAGACAATAATAGTGTTTGGGATATTTAGTAATAGGTGAAGGTAGTAATGAAAACGGTGAAATTAGCGATGATAAAAAAATATGTTGATCAGGATGAGAACGATAGTGAGAATTATACATCAATGGTGTGAGAATGATAGTAATGAAAATGATCGCCACGGTGACGAGATCTTTGCGGATAGGAATGACAACTGGTAATGCTCAAGTGTAAAGTTAAATCTTGAGCACTCTTACCTACATTCCTCTGTTTTTCGTGGGAAAAAAAAATCTGATTTTGTTGTCCTTTGATGATTTTTTCGTTGGTAGTGTAGTCCATCCGATAGTAAATCAATGATTTGAATGGAAATGTAGTAAAACTGGTAAATAAGAGGCGCCTTCAGTGATGGCGTGGACTTTGTGCAGCGTGAATGGTAAAATAACAGATTCACTAGTGTGATTTTTTTGATTTTTCAACAGATTCACTCCACATCTTTTATATGATCAAATGTATAGAAGGAGATTTTGTTCAAAGTTAGATAAATATGAACACCTGCAAGAAAAAAAATTGTGCAGCTCCAGAATATTTAGTTTCTTCACGGAAAGCCACTGACCCTTTCGAAGACATGGGTTCGACCCTCTGTATCACTAACCCCGGCATATTGCGCTTCACAATGGTACGCTGAGGTTAGACGCCATGTTAGAAACCACACGCTGAGGTTACAGACGCGGAAGCCCGGATCCATGGTCCGAAAAAGTTAACATATTGACAATCGTTGGCCCACGGCGTTAGACCTGCCCGTCGCGATCCCACAGTGACGCGGAGAGTCAAGTGCCTAGAGTCGCCATCACGGCGCACTCGACCCTCTGCGTCACTGCAGTCTCACAGCGGGCGGGGTAGCACCGTGGGCCAACGGTCGTCAACGTGTTAACGAGATGTTAGCGATAAATTTACAGGTACCAACAGTTTACTCTTTTTTGTTTTTTTCTTTTGGATCATTAGAGTATTAGAAGAGTTGGAGCTGAAGATTTGGAATATGAAAGAACTTTGCTTTCCCATTGTTAACGCGAAAATGACACTTGGAAAATTTTCACTGTTCTTTACCAAAAAATATTAACGTAATAATGGAGTAAATCGTTTGGCGTTGACCTCAAGAACGAGTCATGCATTCGTCTCTGCCAGCACGGTTGTAGAGATGACTGAATGCATATTTTGCCCATGTAAAAAAATGTAAAATATGCGTCAAAACACTGTTGTGAGCGCAGTGGCAGTGATGCTCGTTTAAATCGAGCAAGGTGCAGGTTCTACATCGTCTCAGGCCAACCAATCCTGTTTAACATCTGGAGCCGAAAAAGTGGTGCACATGAAAATGGGCGATGTCTTGAGAAGTGAGGAGTTTATTTTCCTAATTCTTTGTTAGAATTGATATAAATGATTAAGCTTACTTCATCTGCAAAAATGAGAACATCGCAGAAAATCTGAATACTGTTTAGAGGTAATAAGGAGCTGGTCTATTCACATGCGAAGAAAAATTTAGACAACTATTGTTGGATTTCTGAAACTTCCTTCACACAGTTTCGCTTTGGTAATAGACACTTGATTGGATTCTATAAAGTAAATTGATAATTTTGTCACTATTTCATCGATCTTTGATAGTTATAGACATTTTATGTAAGGTATTCTTTTGCATTAAGTAACTAAGTACTCAATTTCATAATCTATGCAAACTACAATATTATGTAGACATTCTGATTAAACTGTGATCAAAGGTAGCCCTGATTATAAAGAAATGATAATAAAAGCATAAATAGCAAAGAGAAAGCCGTAAAAGAAGAACGACATCGTAACAGCATCTCCAAATTACTGAAAAAAAAGGATAACAGGTAAAAAATACAAAAAAAAACTTGGCTTGCTAAATTAAAGCATAAAAGCGCCACAAAAAGTAATGAAAGCAAAGATAAAAGTGACTTTCGCATTTCCTTGGCAAAGTTTTTCTAAAGGGCGATGACGTAATTATTGCAAGGTTAAAGCACTACAGCTCTGCGAATGATCCAGCCCTGACCCTCTGGAAGTCAAATATTTTGTGGGAATTTTTCGCTACCTTCAAAGAAAATGATATAATTAATCAAAAGTGACTGTTAAGATAAAAATCGATGACATGGATTTGCTCCCAAACAGTCATTCATAGGAATTTTTTTCGAATGACATGTAATCAATGAATGTGAATTGAATTTAGATATGGATTATAAATGGAATAGAAAAAGTAAATCAGTTTGTTCTGTAAGTAAAGTAGAAATAAATATGAAATCATGAAACAATTTTGTAGCCATAAAGTTACGATATTAGCAATACAAAACGCACCTTTTTTGAGGAAAGTTCTCTTTCTACAACTCCTGAAATTTTAGCAGCAAACTCGTCTACTAAGTTCCTAGTCTACAGCGAATTATTTTCATGATAAGTAACAAAATTGCAAGCAGTGAAATTTTTTTCAAGAAAAAACCTCTGCAATAATTCTGATCTATTTTTAATCCTATCAAAGTGCTAACAACGAGCATTTACTTAGTAGTAAAACGATTCTTAGAGAAAAGGTGATAATTAGACAAGTAAAATCCCACTTGTCAATAAGTAGATAAACCTTATAGCTAACATGGCTGAGCCGTCAAACAACTTTGTCAGGCATGGATTCAAAGACATTAGTGTCGATCTGGAGAGGCCCTATGGACGTCCGTCCACTTATTGAGCGATCAAGCAATAGCTTTATCAAAAACTCTTGAAATGTCCAAAATCTTGAAACTGTGGAAAAAAACGAACTTTTCCAAACAGAAAAAACTCGAATGACTTGATAGAAATTCTAATGAAGACTACACGATTCGTCATCAGGAAGGTGCAATGCTCATTATAAAGTGGACATTCAATAAAGAGATGTAATGAGGGGCCGTTCAATAGCGAGTTGCTTGAAAACGCTCTTCTGGACTAAGCAAGTTACTAAACTCATTCCGCAACACCGGTTAATTTAAAATGAAGTGCACAGAAAAACAAGTAAAAAGCAAGCAGTAAACTGCAAAATAGTTATCTATATGGAAAATACAGAGCTACTGAAATTGCTCGTTTTCTGAGACATATATTATGCCGAAAGAAGGAGATCAATAAGTAGAAAAATGACGAAAGGATTCAAGAGTGTCCTCATAGCTCAACAAGTTATCGCCAACCATGTAAATTACTCATTGCAACCTCTTGTTAAAATATTGAGATCTAACACAAAAACTTGTTCTAAAGTTAAAACTAAAAATTCGAGAATTTACGGAGAGATTTTTGGTGACGATTTGTGTTTTGTGCAAGGAGTATAGCCTCGGGGTTAATCAAGTTATGAAGAGGTTTGACCATTTTATCATAACGTCGAGTTATGAGTTAAGCGGTGTTCAGCAAGCTACTTGTGGTTCGTCTCCCGACAGAAAACTTCATACAGTACACCCTAGCGAGATTGTGGTGTACCTCGTTCTTTTGAACGAGCCAAGTTCACTGAGCAACCATAGTGATAGTAGCGACGGCGAGGAGGTGTGGAATAAAAGAACTCTGCGTAGGTCGTTCGTTGGCTATTGGGATTACGCATGATTAAGGTGTATCTGATATATTTTTCGAAGCTATGGCCTATGAACATACTAAGAGTTTGGTGTGGGACAATCAATACCTATATTTTGTGTAGCTGCATCAGGAACAAGTTTTGGAAGATAGAACAGCCGAAGTGCATAATTTCCCAGTTATCCATTAGCCACTTCAATAAGTGCTGAAGACAAGAATCATATTTATTTAAGTGCTTTATAGCGGCGGTAAGATGCTATAAATATATTCAATGATGTGAGTGATTTCAAAATTCTTACACTGGGCAGGACTCGAACCCGCACCTCACTTTGTCCGGAGACGCGTGCTCCAACCCGTTGCACTACCGGCACCTGTTTTGCTACTAGTCTTTCTACGCTACAACGCATCAGTTTGTCAGCAACCAATCGTTGCAATATTACCACGATATTTTTTATTGTAGTGAAGTAAGTCATTTCATGTTTCGTTGATAATTATGTATATGTTCCAATAGATCTGTTCTAGATAAAGCTTGGTTCGAATATACACGTATTCAAAATTCAAGGTTATCAAAAGAATTCAAAACAACAAATAATGATAAATTGCGTTGACTACTTATGTTTTCATTTGGCATTCTTCCATTTGACATGACAATTCTACAAAAATAACAGTGAAATGATTCGCTTGTGACGCTTATGGTCAAAAATGACGGTAATCTTAGAAATCGGTAAGTTTGATAATGTAGAGGATGGGTATTGATCGACGAGGAAAAAGAATGAGCAGGGGCACCTCTTCCTGTATGAATGCACAGCATGGATGTAAACATTCAATAGAGATGATTTCATTTCAAAATCATGCGAATAGAATAGACAGGAGTGATTCGAATAAAGGCTAGAAAGCCCTAAACGTTACACAATTCGCCAAATTAGAGTTGATATTCCAGAAAAAAGCCTTTGCTAACATGACGTCGTTGCTAGTAAGGCTTCAAAACATCATTAAATTGTAGGTCCTAATGGTGAAATACGATCATGGGAACATAACAACAAAGTAACGAAGACCAGACATATGGGATACGCTTGGAAATCAACGAAAAATGAACGAATAAATCAGATAATAATTCATAATACATATTATCTATACATATATATTATACATATTATATATGCATATATATAATTTATACTTTCTCAATATTTATGAATGTGGTGTTATGTGAATGCGATCATACGATTCTCTTTATATCTTAATATGTGAATATGTACTCAGAACAAGTTTTAATTGAACAAGTAAGAATAAACTGTAATTACACCTTTTTTATTTGTTGTAATTCAGATCCATAATGGCTATATCAATGATGATCATAAGTTTGACAATTACAACTACATTATTTATTGTTATTATTTTGTTTATAACTCAGCAATCTTATATTATATTTATAAGAGAATAAATAGAAGATGTCTTCAAAAATGGAAAAAAACACGCATCGATTTAATTTACGGCTGCATATAATCGGGGACAAAAGTAACGAAAATATCACATTTTTATTCTGAAAATCACTAGGCGCTTGAAGGGACCACTTATATCCGATGCCGAAGCTGCATTCTTTTCAAACAAATCGTTGTTTCCCAAACGTCATCCATGGGTGTTGATCTGATTCGTCTATTCGTTTGTTGTCGACTTGAGACATGGAGCCCATCTCCTCATGGGCTATGCCAATTTCCGGCCGAGCTTGGGTTTTTGTGAAACCCCCAAAATAATAGTGCCAGTATGTTTGATGACATTCGCTATCAAAATCTTTACTAATCCCTCTTTTTCGATTCCAGGATAAGCAATGTAATGAAAGAGCTACTCTTCTTATCATTGGTTGAAATCATATTGTTGGTGATTAATAGTAGCATGTATGAGCAAAAATGTTTTTGAAATCAAAGTAATGGAAATGCTGACAAGGGTGTGAGTTTATCGAAAAAATCGATTTGTATGAATAACAGTAGAAGAGGTACAGTAATTTCAACTACGACAACACCAGCACCACTGGAGCTGATGGACTTGTGCTTCTCATTCTCTGACCGACTATATAGATAAATTTTCGCGGTTATTTGAGTCGAACTAGAAACACCCTTGAGACTCAACAGTTTTCGAGAAGATCTCTTTCCTTTTTGCTCTAAGTATACGCCGATAATATTGAAATGGGAAACGCAGGAATGCGGAGGTAAGAGGTATTGTGCAATTATACACACAGAGTTCGACGCTGTTTCTTACGTGCTTCAGAACAGTCGAGCTTATCATCCTTCGATGTCGGTCTACTGGCACAAAACTTACCTAGGAACAAGCTTTCTTCATATAATCCATCAAAAACCGATGATTGACTTTGATGAAGATCCAGGAATATATAGTAGAGCTAGGTAGTAGTAGTAACTCACGGTTTCAGAAGAATCAACTCGCAAAATATGTAACGAATTTTTGAAAAAAAGGCAATATTCTCAAGGAGCAGCCATACCTACGCGCAATGGAAGCGCTCGCGAAAGATGTATACGAGTTAAAAGACAATGAACCGATTACACAGAGTATTGGATGCTCACAATATCATAAGTCACTCGTATAAAAAGAAAAAAAAAACGAATAGGATATACAGAGAATTCATACGTGGAGAAGGGATCTGTAGTAAAGCAATCAGGTTAAATGAACGCTGGTACTTCAGTAGATTGCCTACAAAGAGCATGTGTTCGATTTTCTCTGACTCCAAAAGTCCTTCTTATTATGTGATTCTAACGAATAGATAAAGCAACGCAAATGACGTTTTTATGATTCAGAGCGCATGCCTTTCGCCACATTCTTTCTTAATGATTCTCCGCTCTCCAAATTTATTAACTTTTTCTCGAATAAAAAATGGCGGCACATATCATTGGTGTCTACAGTCACATCGGGAATGACTTCTCGTAAATGTAAATAACAATGCGATTTATAAGACAAAAACCGCTTTCGTAACGCAAGCAAACAAACCAGACCAAACTGTCCAGAAATCGATATTTCCTCCATATTCTAAAACTTTCACACCCTGCTTTTATAAAGAAAACTTCTATAATTTTGCTGCGTACTTCTTAGTGTCAAGGTTTGCTCAACATTTCTATATTTATGGTCTATGAGCAAGCGGATTTTTTCGTGAGAACTCAATTTTAGACGTAGTATCTATGTAATAGGTTCGCCATGTAAGTATGACATGAGATACAGCAATGGTTTTTCTAACACTTCGTTTTGGAATCATGAGTCTTAGAATTGGAGAAAGTGATCCATGGACGACCTTTTGTTATCAGCGATGATCATACGAAGCCGTTAATTGAAGCAAGTTCGGTTTAAATAGCTTTTTTATGTGACAGAAATTTCGCAAAACTAAAGAAATGGTTGTGGAGGATCTCCTTCTACTAAAAATTATAAAAAAAAAGCTCAAAGATTGGTATAGCTGCATGAATTAATCGGATGGCAAATCGAAAGACGCTCGAAATCTATTATACGAAGATTTAGCAACAGCTGCAAGAAAAAAATGCAAGGATTTCTTTTATATCTAAGAGGGCAGCGGTAAATTTTTTGCTTTCAGAGAATGGGATTAACCACTGTAATTGATTTAATTACGTGAAACGAGTGCAGCGAAAAAAACCTTGTAATGCAGTTAGAAATCTTTACCAAGAACCGCAATATTTTTTTCAAATCGGAACTTTGCCAACAGACAGTCATAGTAATGGATAACTTGATGAGAAATTCCTTACAAATGAGTGATAGTGGTTCTAACTTTGGAAATTTTCACATTCACGAACGCTGGAGCTTCCTCTGGTGGAGTCATAAGAGATGAAATAATATAATGTATTGAGCCCATAGGAAAAGCATAATGCAATTGCCTTCATTAACGCATTCTCTGAAGTTGCTATCAAAGAAGTTGGCTTTTGACAAAAAACGATCATTTCTCCAACCAGAGCAAAGGCGGAGTTGAAAATCTAACACGTTTCTAGAACGAAATTTGCTCTAGCGTCAGGGATACAAATAATTTATATGAAGCTCTTTCGATTATAGGGCACGCGTAACCAGGTGATTTAGAGGTGCCCTGCTACAAACTGATTCCATCGGCGGTGCATATACGTATACCAGATCCACCAACATCTGCTTCTAATAGGATAGGTAAAATGGTATCAAATCTGTCCAGGAGGACTTGAACTTTAACTCGGTACATTGGTGAGCCCCTACAAGATATTGCACGGAACAAGCAAGCTCACAAGCAGCTTTATTCCATCAACTTTTTACTTTTTTGATTTTCTTTCAAATACTTTTTTTATTAATAAAATACACTGTGAGCTAAGATGAATTAGCCTAAGTCTAAAGAGACTATAGTTCTTTCTGATTAGGAAGGAACAAATGAAAAACCTATCTTATTCGCTGGAGAAGAATATTTCATAGGAGATTTAGCGGCCATTCGAAAGCTGAGATTTCAGACTATTGCCCCATTTTACCGGTTTTCCAATGAACCCTTTATAACGCTGTGACATTCAAAATAAATTCATGTTTCATAAAGTCACGCATTTTTTCTCTCATCTCGCGTGTATTTCGTTGAACAGAACTCCTTCCCTAAAGTGTCAGTACTCAAACTATAGCTCAAACTTTAGGGAACTCAAAAATTTGCTTGCTTTCTAGAGGCTCTTTTGATCTTTTGATCTCCTCTGGACTTTTGATTTGTGCTTTAAACTACGCCGGACAGAGTTTCTTTCTCAAGACTATTAGTAACTAGCTGATAGAGTAATGTTTCCTGGTTCTAGAGATGTGCTTATTTTTTGGAAATACGATTCAACAGAGAAAATATTACTAACACTCCTATGAAAAGTCTCCCACCAGCGAACGGGATTGCTTTTTCATTTATCTTCTCCTAATCAGACGGAACCGGAACTGCTATATTTGCACCCAACCACTTTGATCACTCCATCAAGTGCTAGTTATATTAAAGATGAATTGACGGATATTCAACCTAGTCATTAGTTTCCGTGAGCCTATTGATGTATCGGAGCGGTATTTTTAACCTTCCATATAAATCTCGAGGTGAATTGCTAATCCTGAAGGAATGGGGCTTGGTTTGGACGGGATACGGGATCAAACGAAAGAACAATTATGTTCTGCAGCGTACAACTGAACACTAAACAGGGCACAGTCACATAGAAGTAATGAATAGAATCGGATATTGTTATCACAGATGTGCAAATTCTGGTGGTTTTGACCTCGATTAATGAAATTTCCTATAACTCAAGATATCGTATGCGAAGGAAGAAGCTATGTAAAATGATCATTTAAAAGCTGTAAAAGCAGAAGTTGGAAACGTTCGTATACATTCCATGTGACC